CGGTGGGGCCTTCGCCGCCCACCACCCCGAGCCGAGCAGGTCTCGTCCCACCGCGTAGGGTTGCGGACGCGCTCTGCCGGGGCAGCCTTGGGGCAACCGGCTCTTCTCATTGCAGGAGCCCCCCCAGCGACCCTCTGCTGCGGCCGTATTTCCCCGCCCGGCACGGCCCTCGGCACCACCACAGGCACGTCAGAGACTGCCAGCCCGTCAAGTACGGCAACATAACATACGAAGCCTGGCCCAGCGACAACAGGACGGGCGGCCCAGTGGCTACCACCAGAACGTTTGTTTCTTACATCCCCCCAGAGGGCGAGGACCGCAAGGCGGTCTATGGCCACTTCACTTTTGTGAGGAACCCCCTGCGGACCGTCTCTGTGCTAGAGCCGGGCGGCGCGGGAGGCTGCCAGGCTTACCGCAGGGCCCCCGTGGAAGAGACCGCAAAGCTCGGGAAGTGTCTGGTGGCCCAGAACGGTGGGTACTTCGACATGGGAACCGGAGAGTGCCTTGGGAACGTTGTGAGCGATGGAAAGCTGGTGAGAAACTCTGGAGGCCTGCAAAACGCTCAGTTCGGCATCCGGAAGGATGGCACCATGGTGTTTGGGTAAGAACTTGGGGGACGTTTGGAGAGCGCTCTCTCCTCCCTGAAGACTGGTAGGAATCACTGAGGCTGGAAGCACTGCCCAGGCACTGCATCCTTGGCCTCTCCCTGATTCAGCATGAGGATGCTTTGAACACTTAAATTAGGGCTGTCCTGCCTGTACCCCATTGAGCTGTATCTGGCCATTGGCTTTTTTTCCTAGGATGAAGAGAAGCTGGATAAGTTACTCTGATGATCTCTAGCTGCTTAGGTTCCTGTATCTCCTCTCCCAACATGCAGCAGGCACACTTGATTATGGTAGAAGGGCAAGAGGTCTGTGTCCTCCCCGCAGAGGAGAGGCAGGGTGGACTACATAACTGCGCTGGCTACAGCACAGAAATGCTGGGGTTGGAAGAGACCTCTGGAGGTGCCTCGTCCAACGCCCTGCGCAGCGCAGGGTTAGCCTGGAGCAGGTTGCTCAGGGTCATGTCCAGTTGGGCTTTGAACATCTCCGAGAATGGAGACTCCACAACCTCCCTGGGCAAACCTGTTCCTGTGATTGACCACCCCTTACAGTAAAAAAAGTTTGTCTTCAGTTACTTGCTGTTAAGTAGAAATCGAGGCATCTCCTGGATTGCCTGTGCTCCGCTGTGTTGCCCTTTCAGCAGATGGTTAAAGTCCCCCGTAAGTGCCAGGGCCTCTGAACATGACGCTTTTTCCAGTTTTCTGAAGAAGGTCTTACCTACTATTTCCCGACCAGGCAGTCTGTGGCAGACACCCAGCATGATGTCACCCACGTTGATCTGCCAGAGCTCTAATCCTAACCTGTAAGCCCTCAGCTGGCTTGGGGTCAGTGCCTAGGCAGAGCTCCAGGCGTTCCCGCTGCTCTCTCATGTAAAGGGCAGCTGCTCCCCCCTTCTCCCACCGCATTCCCTGGGTACAGGCTCTCCCTAAAGAGCCTGTGTCCATCCATTGCAGCACTCCGGTCACACGCGCTATCCTGCCATGTCTGCATGATCCCAGTGAGGTTGTAGCCCTGCAGCTGCACACACCTCCGATTCCTCCTGTTTGTGCCTGTAGTGCTTGCGCTAGTGTACAACTTCACATAGGCACCCACTCCGAGTTTCCAGGAAGAGGGTGAGAGCTTCCCCGTAAGACCTCTCACCATTTCCTTATTTGTGTGCATACGGTTGAGATCCCCTTTTGTTTATACTTTGTTGTCTGGAGTTCTTATGCCCATGTCACCCTGCAACCTTCGCTTGCCAGCCTGGCCTACCACTTCCTCACTTGACTGCGGGTGATCATCTCCCTCCTGTGTCGTTCCTGGTCTAAAGCTCTCCTCAACACATCGCCTATTTACAGAAGTTACTTTTGCCTCACTTGGTCAGGTCCTCATTCCTCAGAGAGGGTTCTGTCCTTGTAAAAGCCAAATTCCTGTTGTCAACACCGGCTGTGCTACTGCATATTGACCCACAGAATCCATCCACTGCTTCTCAAGCCCTTCCTCCTCACCGGCAGGATTGAGGAGAGGACCACCTGGGCCACCCTTGGCTATCAACCCCAGAGCCATGCAGTTGCATGGAGGGAAAGACTCCTGGTTTCCCCTGGCAGTGCTGTTGTTGCCCGTGCGGAAGAGCAGCACGGGGTAATAGCCTTGGGGCTGGAGAAGCCTCAGCAGTCTCCCCACACCATCCTCGATCTGAGGCCCCAGCACACCTCCCTAGACAGGTTAGCAGGTGGGGGCTCTGTCCCCTGCTGCAGGGAGCTTCCCCCCATCACTCACCCACCTCCTCTGGTGCTGCTGCGGGGTTCAGGCTCAGCTGGCACAGACGAATCGTGTCACAGAGCTCCCAGCCCCTTGCCTGCTGCCAGGGCACTGAACCTGGGTGGAGGAAGAGCTCCCTCCTGGTGCCAGAGCTCACAAACTTCCAGCCTTCATCATCACAGGATTTGCCACCCCAGTGAGCAGATCCTGGGTGTTCCTTCTGGGCACTGCGGGGTTCAGGGTTTTGTTTCTGCTGGCTATTAGGGAAGATCTGTCCATCTCTCATCATCCCTGCTGCTGTGCAGCATGCAGACCTCCTCCTGTAGCTCCTTGTCTTGGCAGCATAGCTCCTCAGCCAGCGCACACTAGGACACTGTTTCCCTTGGCCCCAGCTTCAGCCAGAGGCACCAGGTATCCCCGCAGCCCAAGTGCTGGAGCGCTGCCTTCTCCCTCCACAGCTCGGGCTGAATCGAGGTGTCTGCCGTGCTGGGAGTAGTTGTAGAAGTCGGTGCTGGAGGCTGTGCCCTGTGGTGTGTCACCACAGCTGACCACAGACACTGCCCTCTGCAGAGTTTCCAGCTCCCTACTGCACGAGCCGCAGCCTCTCTTGGCTGCTGGGAGCTGTGGTCTCAGCCTGGCCGTTACATATAGGCCTCTTCCTGGCACCAGGGGAAAGGGTGTGTGACGCTCTCTAATCGGCTGGAGGCAAAAGCTCAAAGCACCCTTCGATGGGGAATAGCTGACAGAGGGACTGTTAGCGCTTGCTGGAAGTAAAGGCCCCTGGTAGCTACCCTTCCCCAGCAGCAGCAGGCACCCTGAAGGTCCTAGAAGGGTTTCCAGAGGTCCTTCTGATGGTCTCAGAAGACTGAGAAGCAGTCTGGAAGCTGCTGCATTCTCCACCCTTCTGTTAGCCCACTCCCACGTGCCCTCAGACCTCAGCAAGGGTCCCTGCAAAGCCAAACTGACTGTACCAAGCCGGGGCTTTAGTGTGCAGCCATTCTCTGACAGCCCTGAGAACCGTGGCCTTAATTTACGTGGCGGAGGGGCTGGCAGAGTTGGTGACGTGTCCACTTTAGTGAGGGGGCTTCTGCCGAGGGGACCAACAGCAACTGCAAGGTCACTGTTGAGTCCTTAATCTCAGCTCTGCCCTGCTTCTCTCCTCCTCTGGCAGGATTTCCCGTGCTAACTGCAGTCATGGCACTGTGCGAGTTGTCTGCTTGGTGTCCTTGTGGCTTCCAAAACATGACACTAGAAATAGTTTTGGTGTAAATAATTTGGCCTGTCAGGGCAGTGGGGAAGGTAATTCGCACTTGACCCTTTCACCCTGTATCATGATCAGCAGGACGGTGCACCAGGGCACATTGTTACCCCCCACCTAACAAAGATGCTGCCTCTGCCACCTAGACTGGCCATGGATAATTGCAGGCTTTAAAAGCCGACAGTTGATTCGTCCGTGCTCAAGCTGTAGTGCAATTTGATCCATTTTCAGCTGTGTTCATTTCATCTTTGTGTTCCCTTCCCTTGGGTAAAGGGATTTCTTTTCGCATGTTTTCCACTCAGGTATTTTCAATTACACTTTTCTACAAAGCGTGAAGCTTTGTTCAGCTGCAGTCGCGGATACTAAAAAACTAAAAGTTGAGCATCCAGCCCCAAGACATGTCTGGAGCGCGCAGAGCAATCAGTTTTAAACCAAAAACCACAGGCAGAGCTCACGGCGAAAGCACAGCTGTTCAGCCCCAACCTTTGCTGCTGTCCTCTCCTGTCAGTTGCAAACATCACCTAGCGTCAGGGTCTGATGAGGCGGGTGTTAGTCAGCACCCTAATTCTCGAGAGAAGAATATCCCTTGGGAAGCACCCCACAGTGACACACAACGCCCGATCATGGAAATGGTAGCTGACTGTTCGGTGAAAGGTTTTGCCGTCTGGAAGAGTAGAGGAAGCTCCTTCCCAGATGGAGGGGAGCAGGTAGCACCCTGCAGTGTCTTCCCCTCGGTGCAGCTGTAGGCAGACTGGATGCCGTTGCTGAAAACCCTCCCAAAAGCTGTTTGGTGTCATTGTTTTGCAGAATGGAAGCTGACAGACAGCGAGATGTTACAGCTGCTTCCACAGATCCCTGAGTATTTGGCAATGGCTCTGCCCTCATGTTCTGCCAGATGCTTTCTGCTCTTATTATCCTGGCTCAGGTCCACTGGCCACATTGTTGGCAGGAGTTGTTTCACGCACAGTGGCCTGGGACCATCATTAACAGTGGGTTTGTGCAGAACAGTGGAGAACAGGGTCTACTCTGGCTGCTAAAGTGATGTTTCACACTGCTTGGCCTCTAGTTTTGGATGTAGCTAGCCTTCATTCAGCCACCTTCTCCCCTTCTCCCTGCTTCTGGAGCCTGCTGGCAGCAGAAGAGGCTTTTACAAGACACTGCTGTGACTGTGGGTAACCCCTCCTGCTCTCTCTTTCCTAGTTACCTGTCTGAGGAAGATGTCTTGGATCAAACAAACCCTTTTGTGCAGCTTGTGAGTGGGGTAGTTTGGCTCCTACGAGACGGAGAAGTGTACATCAGTCAGAGTCAAATGGCTGAGTGTGATGAAATTCAAACCACAGGTAAATATTGTACAGCCTAGCTTCAGCCTGGGTATAGATTGTCCTTCTGACGGGGCTGTTGGAAGGAGGGGGTAGCAGTGGAATCTACGTTGTCTAGTTGCAGTTTGCTGCTCACTTAAGAGGTCCAAATTTCTTCTGTGCTACTTTACCCTGAGTCTGCGGCCAGTGCAGTACAAGAAATAGGCTGCCTGCCAGATGAGGCTGCACTCGCCTGTTCAGGGTTGTTGAATAGAATTTGCTGAGGACTGTAAATAGTGGTGGCATGATTGGTATTAATACTTGTTCAGAGAAACTCAAAGCAGATGCCTCTTACAGGAGTTTAACACTGAGGGCTTGTGAATCCCCTTCTTTGTCCCTGTGCCAGACAAAAACTTAACAAGAGCGCTTCTGGAAATGTTATTCCTGGATGGGCTTGGATGAACAAAAGGAACCTGGGCTCTGTTCTCATTGTGTTTCAATTCAGATGAGCTCCTCGCTGGGAGCTGTTTTGCAGACAGATGTGTCTAAACAGCCAGTGCTGTCACCCAGCTGGTGCGCGAATTATTCCCTCTCCCGCACAGGAACCTTCGACAAGTTCATCAACGTGATATCAGCCAGGACTGCAGTTGGACATGACAATCAGGGGCAGCTGGTCTTGGTTCACGTGGATGGACAGACAGAATCCAGAGGGTAAGGCCAGGGTTGTGGTAAGCCCTTGGGGCAAGTGCAAGATTGGTCTTTAAATTCTGTCACCGGAACCGGAGGGACTCCGCGGCTGCCAGTAATATGTTTTAAGGCAGAGACTCACAGAGCTAAAGAGGTCAGTTGAAGACAGTGCTTAACAGTTTATGGCGGTAGAAAGGCAGAGCCAGAAAAAGGCTAAGGCAGCCTCCAGGCAGCAAGTCAGCGTACCTGGGACGGGAGAGCTTCCCCCTTTCCGCCGAGGAGAGGGTCCAAGTTTCTGGTAGAGCAGTTTCATTGAAGTCAAACAGCATGAATGGGAAACGAACAACTGTTTGCTTTTGCAGGGTCAACCTCTGGGAAATGGCTGAATTTCTGAAGCAGCAGGGAATCATCAATGCTATCAACCTGGATGGTGGAGGGTCTGCAACGCTGGTCTTAAACGGGACCCTCGCAAGCTACCCGTCTGAGCACTGGTAGGTGCTGGCTGCACACGCCCAGGGCTGCACAAGTAACCACGCAGCTCCCGTTAGCGCGCGGAGCTCGATCCGACCCCTCTGCTCTGCAAGGGAGTCAGTCTGCATTGCTGGGACATCACAATGTAAAGGCAAGTGACAGGTTTTGAGGGAGAGTGACTCTAAAATTTAAAGCGATTTAGTGACTGCGTATTTTCTCCACTTAGTCACCCGGGATTAAAGTTTAGCTGTTTTCACACAAGCAGCAAAGCTGTTGGGCATGACTGAGTGGCCTGATGTGGGAATCGGATATGGAAGCATCTCTCAGACCGGGAGATTCAGAGCTGCACGTTCACAGGAATTAGCAGAGACCTGTCAACAGCTTATTATTATGGAAGAGATACACTGACTGGGAGACCCTGCCCTGCCTGACATGAGGAAACCTAAAGAGTATTTTACTTTAAATTTAGCTTTTTAGTCATTTCTGACTGTAAATATGAAGGGATTTAAAATTCAGTTTGCAGTCTGACAGTTGAAAGCCAAGCGTTGCCATAACTGACGTCACTTATATCAAAGCAAATAATAATCAAGAAAAGGCGTGTTGAACGCCAAAGTTAGGGAAGCTGGGACTGCTTAAAGGGAGACTTTGCTTGCACGTTGCTTTCTGTGTCTTGTCAAACAATTCCACGTTTGAAATGACTCCTATCCAATAGGAGTTAACACATTGACTCAAATCTAGTTTTACGTTTATATTTTCCCATTATTAATGTTCGTGTTTGCCAAAGTGAATCAGGATGAAAATTTGTGGATTATAACAACTGGTTTCACGTAGGGCTGGGAGCAGCACAGTGCTTGCACGCCTTACGGGACCCATCTTCTGTCCCCAGCCCCTTTGACAGCATGTGGCGTTGCCCTCGGAGCATCTCGACCATCGTGTGTATCCACGAGCCCACCTGTGAGCCTGCAGACTGCAGCGGTCACGGGGACTGCGTGCAAGGGGAGTGCCACTGCACTGGGGACTTCTGGAGAGGCCCAGCCTGTGACATCTTGGACTGTGGCCCTTCCAACTGCAGCCTGCATGGCATCTGCACCGACGGTGAGTCACTGTGGCGCGCAAGGGCTTCTAACACGGGGATGCCAGTGGGTGCCTGTGGTAGCTCTAGGGGAAGCACAGACCTGGGCAGCATATACACGGGGAATATCGCTTACCTGCCTGCGAGGCACCACACTGGGGCCTCAGTGCATCTCTGCGTGCAGTCCTGGCTGGTCCATAGGGTCCTTTCCCACCCTGGTGTGAAGGAGCGTAGGTCACGTGAACTGGCACTGGCAGTAGCCGTGCAGCCTGCATGGCATCTGCACCGACGGTGAGTCACTGTGGCGCGCAAGGGCTTCTAACACGGGGATGCCAGTGGGTGCCTGTGGTAGCTCTAGGGGAAGCACAGACCTGGGCAGCATATACACGGGGAATATCGCTTACCTGCCTGCGAGGCACCACACTGGGGCCTCAGTGCATCTCTGTGTGCAGTCCTGGCTGGTCCATAGGGTCCTTTCCCACCCTGGTGTGAAGGAGCATAGGTCACGTGAACTGGCACCGGCAGTAGCCGCTTCCTTCGCTGCAGGGAGCAGCGCCCTTTGGAGAGGCTTCCAGCCCCGGGAGCCCAGCCTTCCAGGGCCGCAGGCGCTGATTGTCCGGCCAGCCCATGCCCTGACTCTGGAAGCCAGCCGGTGCTGTGTGCCTTGCCTCTTGTCTTACCTTCTGGGTGTATGGAGCTGCTCTCCCCCTTCCCTCCAGCACCTCAAGCAGCGGTAGAGATGGTCAGAACACGTTGCCTTTAGGAGACAGCAGCAGTGCTAGGCTGGGACTCGGATCTGGAAACTGGACCTGTAATAGGACTTGACTTCAAACTCTATGTCTCAGTTTCCCTTTCTGCCCCCCAGGGTTGTGCTCCTGGTTTGTTTGTAAACCTGCTGATGGGAAGGGCAATGTATTACGCTGTATGACAAAGCAGCTGAGTTCTACCCCCTCCCCTTATTGTTACTTCTTTATTTGGCTCTCCTGCTTCATGATTTTTACAAGTGAGCAATTGCTACTCTTCTGTCAGCTTGTTTTGAATCTAGGGACTACCATAACATACACCCCCCCAGCTTCTGTTCTTCCGTGCCTGCTCAATCCTGTTTTCCTGTTTCTTTGCTACCTCCCTGATTCAATTCACAGCCGAGTTTGCACCAGCGAAGTGACTGGGCAGAGCTCGGTGGGTACAGGTGTTGCTAATAGTTGACCCAGAGTCAATCTCTCAATCCCATCAGCAGGAGGTTCTGCTGTGTTTGGCAGCTGTAGCGGGTGCGTATTTGAACCTAACCTGTGCGTGAGTTCAGGATTCCTCTTCCGTGTGTTCCCTGGCAGAGGCAGGGCAAGTTAAGCAGGCACACCAAGAAGGAGAGGCTCCTAATTTTGAGTTCCTGCTATTTCTAAGTCTTTCTCTGTTGTTGTTAATGCCTGTTTGTGTGTGTTTGCACAGCTGGATGCCTGTGTGACGCTGGCTGGATTGGCAGCAACTGCAGTGAAGGTAATGCTGAGTTCCACTCCACTTCTTCATAGCCAGCAAAAGGATAGTGTGAACCACTTCCTAACAGCTGGCTGCCTGCAGTGGTGGGGAGGTCCCTCTAATATTCTTTTCCAAGAGGGAGCAATGAAGGGAAAGGCTACACAGTGTTCTCTTTTTTTTTTTTGTCAGTGTGAGTTTAATTACAGCCTGAGCATCTTAAGACTGGCTTGGTGCGAAGCACTTTAAGCCCTTGCTCCTTGTTCAAGGCACAGACTTGGCTTCTGTTCTCTGAGCAGCTGTCAACACCCTGTGCCATTGAATACTCCATGGGTGTAGGCATGGGGTGGGATCGCTGCCTTTGTAACGAGGGTCCCGATGAGATCTCTGCTTGTCTCCTGTAGCTTGTGCTAGCGGTTTCTATGGGGACGCTTGCACCCAGAAATGCCGGTGCCAGAACGGTGGCTCGTGTGACCCCGTGCACGGAGCCTGCTCCTGCCCGGCTGGGTACTACGGCACCAGCTGTGAGCAAGGTAAGGGCTGCTCTGAATAACAGCCTGGGCTGGGGAGAGGCTTTTGTGTCACATCCGAGCCACCTCTTGGAGGCAAAGCAAGTGTGAGGTCTGCCAGGTGGGCTCAGGCCTGAACTTCTCAGCTGGAGCGTAACCTGCCAGCTCCCAGCTCTTAAGGGCTTGCCTGCCCTACCCAAACTGGCTGAAAGGAAAAGGAGGGAGCAGAGGGGAAAGAGGAGTTTTCTTCATCATTAGAAAATTGTGGATGCCTGTTCAGTCTCTGCCCCAAAGAACTGTGTTGCTTTCCTAAGCTCGTGAGTGTAGAACGTGAGTACGTGAATATCCTTCGCTTGAGGATGTTGCAGCAGGCCCTGCCTGTAGCCTGGGCTTCGGGTGATCCAAGTCAGTGGGTGTGAAATGCTCCAAAGGGCCCTTCTGGCTTACAACCTTCGAACTCCGGCTGTGCAGGTGCTAGTGCTGACAGAGCGAGCGATGTTCTCGATTGTGTAACCACTCCAGCTTTTCGGAAGTGCTCGAGCCCCGCTGTGTATCTGACTGAACAGCCTGCTCTGGTGACGGGACAAGTTAATTACAGCGTGGGTGCATGGTTACGCTAGCGATGCTTTGTTCTCAGCCTAGGAACGCTCAGCCAGCCTGATCCCCGTTTTAGAAGATCTTCTCCTTGAAGTAAACAAAATAACAGCAGTGAACTCGCCGTTTGGTGCTCTCAGGCTGCTGGAGGGAGCAGGGTGGGCAGGCAGAACAGCTTTGGGAAGCGGTGGGAAACCTGGGGCCCTGACTGCTCAGCGCAGCCGAAGAGCCCACTGGATGCTTTGTACTCAAACACGAGTACTTGCTTCCCTTTAGGAGTTGGCCGCCGATGCCCCCCTCCACCTTTGCTTCTGAGCCAAACAGCAGGGCCGTGGCTCAGACGTGGCAGGGAGAAAAACCCATGGGAAGCAACAAGGCCAGAGACTGCTGTGGGGACAGAAGCAACACGAACACCCCAGTCAGATGTAGGTGAGGCTCGAGCCTCTCCTTAAGCTCTGAGTGTGCCCATCCTTCCTGGCACTGAGCTGGTGCAGCTGGGGGGAACGGGCACAGTTGAGCTGGGGGCGGGGGGAGCTGCAGTGATAGACTGGATGGTTTCAAAGCATGTGGAGCTTTGCCAGTGACTGACTTCTTTGTAATCAATTCCCTAGAGTGTCCCATGGGCTGGTATGGGCCAAACTGCCAGAAACCCTGTGCGTGTGAACACATGTGTCCCTGCGACCGGGAGACGGGCAGCTGCAACACCACCTACGAATTGGCAATACAGGACCAGTTAAACAAAGGTACCTCTGGTTACAGTGGTTTACAGTGGTTGTGTTTTAAAAAAAAAAAAAAAAAAAAAAAAAAAAAAAAAAAAAAAAAAAAAAAAAAAAAAAAAAAAAAAAAAAAAAAAAAAAAAAAAAAAAAAAAAAAAAAAAAAAAAAAAAAAAAAAAAAAAAAAAAAAAAAAAAAAAAAGTTGGAAGGGCAGCTTTGGTGCATAATGTTCTGTTTGCTTAGTTATCAGCTCTGGCTGGCTGTCACCTTACCTAAGCTTACTCTTTTTCAGTGGAATTTTACACCTTCCCCCCAACACTGCCTTTCCTCCCTCTATTCTTTGTTTTCCAGCTGGGCGATGTTTGGCTTCCCAGAATAAGGGAAGGAGCAAAGAAAAATTCTCTCTGTCAGAGTAAGTGTGTAATACTCGTCATATACGCGTATACGTACACACCGAGGCCATGCCATCAGTTGCTCACTGCGCCATGGAGTCGTTCACGCCCCCTCCCGAGTGCCAGGGCAGTGTGTCGGACCCGCTGCTCCATTGCCCAGAGCACCTGTGTTCTGGCTGCCTTATGTCGCCTACAGCTCTCGCGATGGGAAAGATGAGGATATGGAAGGCAAAGCGATAGAAACCCAACCCTAAGACAAGTGCTGAGCTGAAGCCCCCATCGCTGACAGTTGGTGCTCTGAGCCTAGCGCTCTGCAGCTTACAGTTAAACAAGAGCCACCTTTCCTCTCCCGCTGGTGCACCGTACGTGCAACAAACAGGCAAGGACAGTTCCACACCAGAGCACAGCTTCTGTAGTATTAGTGAAGCTACAGTTGCTCTGCAGGCACAGCTGGTCACTCGTTAACTGAGTGGAAAGCTAAAAACAGCCATTTGCTCTGGCTGCCAGAGCGGCCCGCCAGAGGCTTTCACAGAGCGTGTTCTCGCCTGCCTGAGAGCAGAACCACACGCTTACGGTGACGGAGAGGGGAGTGCAAACCTTGAGAAGTCATGTGCACACTAGGAACATGTGAAAGCAGGTCAAGAGGTGTTGCTTATGTGGATTTTTCTTCTGTCTGACAGAAAAACCTGGATCTCCACGACCTCTGTCTTGGCTCTGCTTCTCGTGATTAGTGCCATGGGAAACGTAGGCCTTTTTCTCAAGGCCAGGTCAGAGAGGCACCATGAGAGCGGTGACTACCTCTACCACCCCCTGAGGGAGATGAATGGGGAAGTCAGCCGTACCTCCACGTCTGCTGCCTGCAAGACAGAAGATACTCAGGACCAAAGTCAGGCACTCCTTCAGAGTCCCGGATGAGAAGAGATGAGGTATTTTACTCTGCACCTTGTACTGCGCCACTCGGCACTGACTGTTACAGAGGCTGTTCAGACTGTATTCAGAGCGTAAAACTGCTGACTAACCCAAGAGCAGCAGCAAGATACCTCAGTCCAAGAAACTCCCTTGTTTCTGGCCCAGCCCTGCTGAGGACATGGCTAGCTTCCCTCCCTTCCTCGCCTGCTCTGGCTGGAGCAAACAAGACTGCGTAACTAGTTGCCATGAGAGGATGCAGGGCACAAGCCATGGGGCCAGCTTCCACACACACAGGTGGATAAGGGAATTCCACTGCTGCAGCAGGGAAGGAAATGGGCTGGTTCCCTCCAGTACTTGAGGGAAACAGGTGAGGAATGTGAGCCATAGGCACTTCAGAAAAGTCCCTTCCCTCTGAGCAGTGGTAAGTATTTTTAAGATGCAAGATAAATTGCCTGTAGCATAAAGCTAGGCTTAAGGAAGCTGGCTTAAGGATGTTGTAGTCTATAACTCTCTGCCCTTCCCTGGTAAGCTCAGACTTTTATCATAAAACTGAAAAAAAGTTGTTTTAAAATGCCAAAACAGGCGCAGCACACAATGAAACCACAACACTCCTCCTCCTGGCCGCAGTGGTAGGCTCAAAGGCTGACACACAGGGCTGGGGCTTTCTTGCACCTGACTCTTCAGCTGGCCTGTGTTGACTGCAGGGCCAGAGTGTTTTCTTACTGAATCCTCAGTCCTAGGAGTGGTCTAACAGGTGTTTGACGAGCACTGCATTTTTGGTAGGTTCTTGCAGTCCAGCAACATAAAAAGCCTTGTCAGTTCAAATATTTCATTCTCGCATTCTCTCGTACCTCGCAGAAGCCGGTGCCCTCTGCCTGGCAGCGTGGGGGTACCCTGCCACCCAGGCACCGCAGCCTGGAGCTCTTCCACCTGGGGAAGGGAAGAGACAGCAGCAGCCTGGCACGGTCAGCATGACACGACCGAGCCCTGGGACTGGGCTCGCCCTACCCCGGCCTGATCAGCCTGTGCTGTCCTCAGCCGGCGGGACAGTCCGTGCAGCGGCCCTTGCTCACTGCTGCTAGAACTGCCCTTCCCTCGGAGGGAACGACTGCTGGCAGTGAGCTCGGACCACGATCAGTAAGTACTTCAAGCAACCCAAGATCCCGAACATCTCAGCTGGAAAGCAGACATTTTGCTAGAATACATCCTTGCACAATGCATTTAAAAAAAAAAAGTATCTGAGTTTGCTTCCATGTGAGGGAAAAATAGCTTAATATGCTACTTTAATGCTGCAAACAGGGTGTTTAAAGCCTGTCTGAGCCTGAATATTAACATTGTTATGCACTCCGTTTTTATCTCTCCAAGTAAAGGTGTGGTTTAACCCCAGCCGGCAGCTAAATGCCACACAGCCACTCACTCACTCCTCCCCGGTGGGATGGGGGAGAGAATCAGAAAAAAGGTAAAACTCGTGGGTTGAGATAAAGACAATTTAATAGGACAGGAAAGGAAGGGAAAATAATGATAAAAGAATAGGCAAAGCAAGTGATGCACAATGCAACTGCTTACCACCTGCTGATGTCTGACTCAATTCTTTCTGGGGTGCCATGTCGCCACAGGACTTGCTTTTCAAGGCCCAGGATAGTGTTCCGGGAAGTGGCATGGGGCACGGGATATGTTTCCAGCCATCCGGTGGTTGCCTCCACCATTGCAAATACATGCCGCTTGCCTTGGCGGGTTTGTGGGAGTGTGATATAATCGATCTGCCAGGCCTCCCCATGTTTATATTTCAGCCATCGTCCTCCATACCAGAGAGGCTTTAACCGCTTGGCTTGCTTGATCACAGCACGTTTCACATTCATGGATAACCTGTGCAATAATGTCCATGGTCAAGTCCACCCCTTGATCACGAGCCCATCTGTATGTTGCGTCTCTTCCTTGGTGACCTGAGGTGTCATGGGCCCACCAAACTATAAATAATTCACCCTTATGTTGCCAGTCCAGATCCACCTGAGCCACTTCAATCTTAGCAGCCTGATCCACCTGCTGGTTGTTCTGATGTTCTTCAGTGGCCCGACTCTTAGGCATGTGAGCATCTATGTGACGGACTTTTACAACCAGGTTCTCCACCCGGGCAGCAATATCTTGCCACAGTGCGGCAGCCCAGATGGGTTTGCCTCTGCGCTGCCAGTTGCTCTGCTTCCA